GGATTACAGCCATGTGCCACAGTACATTTTAAAATCAGCATTTTATTTCACAGAGAGAAAGCTGAAGTCCAATCCAAGGTCCAGAAGTACAAGTAGCACAGTCAGACCTCCACCCCAGGCAATCACACGGCCACCGAGACATTCTAGACTAACCCCTACTCCCGTGAGAGTCTTACACCCATTCAAACCCACCGTTAAATATTATCTGAAAAATGTTAACCTCACAAAAATAATCCTGTACAGTATAAAAACAAATATTACACAGCCTCAAATATATATATTTTAAAAATAGCAGTGACTTGTGTGCAGGCGGCTTAAATGTTTTGCAGATGAGAAAAAAATTGAGCTAGAACCAACTTGTTCATCATTATCGCATCATCAACTTTGTCTTCATGTTCCTCCTCCTCTGTTCCTCTCTGCTTTCCTCCTCTTGCTCCTTTGGCAGCCGTGCCTACCCCTTCCCACCACGCCAAGCTGCACACTATTAGCCTCTTCATGTGACGGCGGTTTTATAACATCATTTTCTGTGCAGAGAATAAGAGAGATCTTTCAGTCTTTCCTTCATCATGGTTGATCCAAACTTGTTTTGTACCATTGATAATTTCAGGAAGCTCCTTTCAGGCTCGTAACTCGGTTGGAAATGTCATGCACACTTTTAGGATTGATGTCACATTTGGGGAAACCTCAGTCAAGTTTCTTTCCTCTGTAGGCTGTAAGAATTCAACTCATTTTGAGTTTCTTGTGTGGTGATAGATTTTAAATATTTTTAAACTGACAGGTTACATTTAAAAATATGTTAATATTGTTGAGGTCTTGTTATAGTGGGACATCATGAATTTTAAGCTATCTTTGTTAATGTTGGTATTTTATCAGATTCGCAAAAAATTAAATATTTTTCCAATGTGTTTGTACAAGTCCCTGTTCTTTATTGATTAGAACATCAAACAATGTAAGAGTATTTTCCACAATTCTATTCAAGTGATCCCTTTCTTTTAATAGATTATATTTTGGTATGATTGTCTTCTCAATGTGAAAATCAGTGATATTTTTCAAGACTATTGCTTCTGTTTTATATTCCATTTCTTTAAAATATATTCCACTTGACCCAAAAGAATTGTATTCCTATAGATAGGATCTCAAGATAAAGATGAATGCCACCAAACACAAGAGGAAGTCAGAATTTTTAAAAAATGGAATGATCATAAATGGATTCCTTCAAGTAATTTAGTAAATTAAAAAAGACCCTAGACCATGTGGACCAGGCCTTGTATTTCTAGGGCTCCTCCCAGGGCTTTGGAAGAGGCTCATGGAAGGGAGGGGACCTAACTTCTGTTGTCTTTATAGGATACCAGCCTGTGTTGCACTCTAGCCACGCGTGCGCTATGGTATGACACTCGTGTAAGACACATACCTATGTGCTAAGTGCTTCCAGACCCAGCCAAGGTAAAAATGGCCCCATGGAAAGGGATGTTTTGGCTAAACTGCAAATGGAGTTGGGCTCCACTAGAGGCTCCCTCAGGGGACTGAGGAAAGGGACCAGAGGGGGTCCCTAGATGTTGTGATCTAATCTCCAGCTGCTCCTGTCCTCCTAACTTCCCTCATTTTATTCCGACTTCCTCCTCGGAGGCTGCAGAGCAGTAGGCAAAAACAAGACATTTCTAGAAGCCCACGGCCTGGGTTCAAATCCTTCCTCATAACCTAAGCTGTTGAAAATAGACATCACCTTTGGGAATTTTCTCACTGGAGTTTAAGGGTGAGATCTAAGTTAACCCCTAAGTTGCCAGAGAAGCCCAATATAGATTAGGAGGGTGTGAAACCAAGAAGAAAAAAAAAAGGTGCATGGAAAAATGGAAGGGGCTCCAGCCCCAGACCCCAAGACCCCCTGGTGCTATGGTGCAAATAGCCCCACTTTCATGTGTGAGCTGCCCGGTGTCCTTCCAGTGCACCCAGCTCGGGTTAAAGCTATTTGTTTTTTTTTTTTCAGCTTTAATTAAGTTTATTGGTACATTTTAAGGATACAGTAGAGTTACATTCATTGTTGGGATCTTGTACCTCTACATGACAGGTCTTGGTTCTTATTTTTTCCCCTTACCCCTGCCCTCCCTTCACCCCCTCCTCCCCTCCCCATCTACAAACACTTTATTTCCATCTTTTCATTATCTCACATTTTTTTCTTTTCCCTTATTACCCTTCCCCTACCCGTCCCACCTTCCCTACACCTTTAGCTCCTTTCTTCCCATTTCTAAATGTCAGTAATCTTATTAGGATCTTCCGTATTATTGCAGATTATTCACACCAGAGAAACTATTCGGTATTTACACATGTGTGCCTTATTTATTCCACTTAGGAGTATATCTTCAATATGTATCCATTTTCCTATGAATGTATCTATTTTCTTGTTCTTTATGCCTGAGTAATATTCCATTTTATAGAAAAACCACATCTTCTTTATCCAGTTTCCAACGGATGGGCAAATGGGCTGTTTCCAAGTTTTAGCTATTACAAACTAGTTAAAGCTATCTGAGTGAGGGTTCTGTTGCTTGCATCTCAAAACGTCCTGGCTAAATGCCCCATTCCTCCTTCTCATCCCAAGGCCCCCCATTGCTACAATGTCACTGTCTTAGTCAGCTTCAGAAGCTGGGACACAATCTCCAGCACCCATGACTTGAAGGAGGAAGGGCGATGTTAGCTCGTGGTTTCAGTCTGTAATTGGCTCCCAGGCGGAAACAAGGCGGAAGGGCATGGCAGGGCAAAGCTACTCACCCCTAACATCTGGGAAGCAGAGGGCAGGGTGACAGAGCCGGAGAAGTAGGGGCTATGGTCCAGATGCAGTCCCCGAGCCACGTCTTTATAACGCACCCAGACATATCCACAGTGTGCTTTTTCTCGATTCTTAGGGGACTCACACCAATCAGACTGACAAGGTGAGCTGTGACGGATGCCACTGACGTCACCATGGCTCTCTCTTTCTCCTCACTTCTCCAGGGCTTCCATATTCGGGGCTCTGTGAGCAGTTATGCAGGTTGTTCACTGCACAAGTGTACCTGCCTGAGGAGGTGGTCCAGCCTGCTTTCTGCTTGCCAAGCCACGAACCCTGGAGCAGGACAGCTTCCCCAGTAGTGAAGGGGCACCTGTCCGTTATTGCACACTGCCTCCCTGCGTGCTGGTGGCCCCCTCATGTCTACAATTGGCTTCTTCAGTGCAGAAACTGCCTCCTCCACTCTTCATTCGATCTTCTTGTTCCACCTCTCATTGCATCCTTTCTTTCCCTTCTCTATCTCAAGCCTTGTTCCCGCCTGTCCATTCTGCTTACCCAACCCGACTGTTCAAACGTAAGGTTTACTCATATCCTTGCCCTGCTTTCATCCCTCTCTGCTCCCCACTGCTGTCAGGATAAGCCCACATGAGCTCCACTGTGTCCCTGCCTCTGCCTCTCCCCACTTGCCTCTGGCGCCTTGCCCTGGAACATCTTTGGTCTGCTGAACAGTTTTCTCACTCTTACTCTGGGTCTTAGGACTGGTTATTGCCTCAGCTTGGAGCGCCCAGCTTTGGCCCCTCCTGTTGGCCAACTCCTGAAAGACCCATTAGAGGTTTGTGTTTGTCTGCGCCTCTGGAAGATTGTCTAGGCACCTTCCCATCTTCTCCTGTCGTGGCCCCTGCTCCTGTCACAGCGCTGCACTCATCCTGTGGTCATGATGTGATCCCCCCAAAAGTCTGGGTGGCTCCCAAGGGCGGGAACTGGGTCTGGTTGTCTCTGTCTCCTCCCAGCACAGGACTTGGCATCTGCTGAATGGATAAAGTCAAGAATGAGACCCTGGGGGCCTCCGGGGAGTGTATAGAACCAGGGGCATTGGGGAAGCAGCCAGGGCCTTGTTAGTAACAGGACCTTCTGGGGGCTCCTTGGAGACACCGTGCAGAGGCTCTCCTCGGGACAGAGAGCAGGTCCTAGGTGCGAGGAGGCTGGTCTTCCTGCACCCTGCCTTACCTGCACTGCCACCACTTGAACATGGGCCTGTGGGGTCTGCAGGGTGACTGTTGGTGGTGCTGATGTCCTGTGCATGTGAGTGGGAAGGGAACTTCCTCCAGGCCACCCCATTCTCAGCCTTAGAGACAAGGGGAGGGCAGAGGTTTCTGTGTGGGGGTCATGTCCTCCATGGGCATTGTGACTGTATCATCTACTCTTGTTCCACAAAACAAGCTTCAGTGGCTCCCTTTAGGAAGCCCTGGGCTAAATCAGAGGCCTCTGCCCTGATCTTGGAGTTTACAGTCTGAGCAAAGTATACCAATTGGGCGGACGCTGGTCCTGCATGCCCCTCTCCTCAAGGCTCTGGAACCCTGTCTTCTTATGAGATGGGACAGGCCCTGGATGCTGTGAGTGTGGGCTACAGGCTGAGTGGAGCAGCCTGTCTGGCAAACTGCCCCTTTGCATCACCTGTCCTTAAGAGCCTGTGAGCACCAGAGTGTGCAAAGCTCCTGGCTTTGGGTTTTCCTCTTAGTGCTGTGAGCACCTATCCTACCTTCTCTCCCTGCAAGGACTGAGTGACACTTGGGGCCATGACCTCCTGGTGATCTTCTGAACACACCTAGGGTCACTCTGCGCATGTGGAGGGGTAGGACTGTCTTGTATGCACTTCAGGACCACCAGGGGGAACTTTTGAAAAATACCAGTAAGTGGCCTGGGTATCTGGGTAGAGACATTAAATCTGAGTCTCTAGGAGGAGGGGCCTGGCATGGACTCTTTTTTCTAAACTACACAGATCAACCTAATGTGCATCCTTCCATGAGAATCACTGACGTGTGTGGAGATTTAAGTCAAGATCCAGAAAGTCCTACAAACGGGAGATGCACAAGCGAGCTGCCTCTCTGCAATCCGTCTGCTGCCGACAGGGGCCGCTGCGGGGCAGCTGGCTCTGGGCGCTGTTTCCTCCAGATCTCCACCCCAACTCCACCCTTCAGTCAAAGGAAAGCCGGAGCCACCGCAGTATAAATTAGCGTCTTTATTTCCAACACCTGAGCGAGCGCCCGCAACGAGCGCCCGCAGCTCGCGCGCCTGCTGTATAAACATACAAAGCCCCTGTTGCACCACACACCATGCCTCAGAGATAAATACAGCCCTAGGGGCTTCCGCTCTGGCAAAGCAACTCTTATTTACAGGAATAGATTACAAAAAGTATTACAAAAAGTGGTCCTGAACCGCGGGACGGGGTGGGAGGGGGCACTGGAGCTACCCTGCAGGCGGTGGGGAAAAGTGGATGTAGCATGTAGCGAGGTCTCCTGAAGGTAGGGGCCGAGCCCCTAAAAAACACCTGGGTGTGGTGGGGAGGGCGCAGAGTTGCAAGGGTCTCAGCCCCCGTGGTGGAGGCAGCAAGAAAAAGGAAGGGCCTGTCCCTCGAAGGATGGCTGTGCCTCACCGGGAAACTCCAGGCGGCCATCGCGTGTCAGGGAAAGGTGCCGAGTGGGAAAACGGGCAGCGTCCTTGCGCTGGGGTCGGAGGGCGGGCAAGCTTTTCGGGTGACCCGCCTCTCCCGCCCAGGGAGGGGTCGCTTTTAAAGCGCGATTGGGAGGAGCGTCATTTAAACTCAACCTTTCGGGCTCGAGGGGCCCTGGCGCACCGTCCCTCGGGAGGTGCCCCTCAAAGCACCTGGTAGATGGGGTTGGGGTTTGCGCCCGCAGGACACTGCGAGGTGGTGTCCGGGGAAGGGGTGGGAGCGCCCAGCTCGCCCTCGCCGGGGGCGGTCGCTTCTTGCTGACACCCAGGTGACTCTGGCGGCGCCTCGGCTTGCAGGAGCGCGGGCGCGGCGGGGCTCTCCGTGGAGATCCGCTCCACAATGCTGGACAGGCAGTCGAGGCTCGACACCGTCGCCCCCTTCCCTGGCCTGGGCTCTGCGTGGGGAGCGGGGAGTTAGTTCGTCAGCGGGGGTTGAGCTGCGGCGCAGGATCCCACCCCTGGGCCCAGCGCAGAGGGGGGCAAAGGGGGAAACTGAGGCTCTGCCTGCCTCCGGGACGATACAGCCGGCGAGAGCGCGGGGCGAGAGGGGAGGGAGCCGAACGCGCAGTATTTCATTCGGTGCGCCGCGGCCCGGTGGCGAGTGTGCGCCGGAGGAGGGATGAGGTAGGGGAGACACGCTGTAGTAGGCGCCGTCGTAGCAGTTCCGCCTCCGGGCGCCACTCGGGGGGCCGCTGTAGTCCATCTGCGAACGGCAAGGACGTCCCAGTCAGGGCCGCGGGACCACGAGGGACCCGAGCACCACTCCCAGCAGCCCCCCGCCCCCAAGTGTCAGCCGCGAATTCTGGGACCGGCGCTGTCTGGGGTGAGAGGTAGGAGCCAGCAGGAGCTGGGATCTGCGGCACGCAAGGCCGAACCGAGGGTGGGTGGTCACTCAGTCGCTCAGATCTGCATTTTGGAGATAGGGATAAGTGGAGAAAAATCGTACTTTCCAGTCCGCGCAGTGTTACGTTAGCGCCCTAGTCGGGCGGATCGAGTTTTGTGCTATCCCGCTTCCGCTGCCCAGGGCGCGGGAACGCACTCCCAGGAAGGTCCCCCACCCCAAGGGCCGGTTCCCTGCGCTAGGAAACCCGTCGCAGACGTACGAAGCGCTGCCTTCCCCCGCCCCATCCCCCGCCTGGGTCCCAGCCTTACCATGCCGTCGGAGCAGTTGGAGCGCG